GCACGAATATGATGTGTCTGGCATATCGTGCTCCTGAGGTGGTCCTGGGTGCTCCCCTGTCCGAGGCCCTGGACATGTGGTCCCTGGGCTGCTTGCTGGCAGAGGGCCTCTTAGGCTGCGACCTGTTCTCTTACTCATCCAAGTATGACCACCTGAGGACCATTATCCATCTCCTTGGACAACCCAGCAATGAGATGTTGCAGAGAAGTGTTTTCGCAGATAAATACTTTCTCCAGACAGGCAGCCAGTGGAGATTCAAGAGCCCCACCGAATATCAGGAGACAAACCAGAAAAGCCCAAAGGTCTCTGAGTGTGAACTGGACGAGTTTTCAGATCTCGCAGAAGCCATAATGTTAGAGACTAATGACGAGGATGAAGATGCTGTCTTGGACCTGGAGGTTTTCCTTGATTTTGTTAAAAATCTTCTCCAGGTTGACCCAGAGAAGAGGCTACCTGTTGACCAAGCCCTGAGCCATCCATTCATAACAATGGAACACCTGAGTTACTCTGACAGTGAATATGTCCAAAGTGCCTATGATCTTATGGCAGTAACCCTGAAGACCTCCAGATCTGCTCCTGTGGAAAATCCAGCTCAAGATGATCCAGAGCAGAACCTACAGTCCTCTGCAGCTTTACTTGAGAGGCCAGGGTACTCACTGACCTTTGAAGATGTGAGGTCCCCTCCTGAGTGCCACAACAACACGTCCTCTGAACACGAGCGAACCTGAGAAAGCTGTCTGGCCCTGCAACATCTCATGTTTTCAGGTGGACCATAGTGATGAGGTCAGCACCAGTCTGAAAGAGGAGCTTACATCTGAACATGAACAGGCTCAGATCACCTGCCGTCCAGAGGAAGCTGACTGTACCCACAGCCCTCTGATTGAGATTGACGAAGGCTGTTTCAGGGGAAATAATGCTGTTTCCTTCATCACTGAGCCTGTGGAGGAGAATAATGTGAAGGCTGACATCTCCGTTAGCGACTCTTCAAATGATCTGAAGTCTGAAACTGCAGATAATAGTGGGCACAAAAGCGCCTCCTTCTGGTCAGGCATGAGGAAAAGGTTTGGACGTGTCATAGCAGGTATACGTCGAACCATGACCCGTATTCGCCGTTACATCACCTCCAGGAGGCGCTAAATACATCAGTGATCTTCCTATTTCCTTCTTTATGTATTTATTTATTTATTTGAGACAGGGACAGCGCACAATTTTCACATTAACCTTGACAGGAGAGATGCATTGTACATCAGGTTGTAGCATCAGTGCTAATTTCCACCTGTAGTCCCTGGACAGGTTCATTGATTGATTGTATTTAACTGACCTTGACTATCAACTGTTCTGGAGACCTGTAGCATGTTGGGTAGGCCTAGGGACTACAGATGGAAATTAGCAGTCTTGCTATAATCTGGCATATTTACACTGCAATGTTGTTCATTAATGTGCACTGTCCCTATTCAATAAATAAATAAATAAATAAATAAAGATGCCACTGCAAACTTATACAATTTGTTGTTGTTGTTGTTTTGTATTTGTTGTGGGTGTTACTTTATGACTTTATGTTTTTAAGTTTAGTTTTATGTTGATTATTGTAATTTGTTAAATGTTGATTGTTATATTTTTTAAATGTTATATTCTGTTGTCGTTAATAAAACTGTTCATTAGCAATCACATTCTTGTAGTGTAATTAACAATTTATGACTTCATATTGTGTGTGGTAAAAAGTCCATCCATCCGTTTATCCATCTATTTTCTTACGCTTATCCGGGGCCAAGTCGCGGGGTCAGCAGTCTAAGCAGGAACTCCCAGACTTCCTCATCCCGGACACTTCCTCCGGCTCCTCCGGGGGGACCCCAATGCGTTCCCAGGCCAGCCGAGAGACATAGTCCCTCCAGCATGTCCTGGGTCTTCCCCGGGGCCTCCTCCCAGTGAGACATGTCCAGAAAACCTCCTGAGAGAAACGTCCAGGTGGCAGATGCCTGAGACACATCAGCTGCTCCTCTCAACATGGAGGAGGAATATGTAACAAAAATACACCTTAAAATTCAGTATATTTAATGCCATGAAGTGGAACATTGCAAGTAAAGCCATAACATGTTAGAGCAGCGGCAGAAAAATTACATAACCCACCTTTAACTAGTAATCAAACAAAAATGAAAGTAATTTATAGGATTGATCTAAACAAAATGTCAATTATTTGCTTCTCGGGGTTAGGAAATCCCGTCTTCACAATCACAGCTCCCTCCAGCTCACGTCCATCCTAAACTCTGTGGTTATATATAATTTTGTCCTCACTAGGCCAAGGGGAGTATGGGAAAACTCAAATATTAATCAAAAACTGACAGAGGCCACCAGCCGCCACGTAGTTTTAAAAAGCATGACAATATCAAGTAATCCAAAGTATTCAGATTACGTTACTCACTTTAAGTAATTTAATGGATTACGTTACAGACTGTAATCTGTAATCTGTAGGGGAATACATTTTAAAAGTAATCTTCCCAACGCTGTACAGATCTACATGCAGATCATGACAAGGCGACCCCAAAAATACTCTCTTATACTCACATAAGGGTTGCGACCCTGTCTTTGGGAAACAATGTATTAAAATTAATGAAAAAAATCCTTTGTTGTTTCAGGGTCTGTTGGGGGTCACTTTACCTCCTTGTGCACAAAGACAAAAAGAAAATAGAAAGAAACAATCCCTGTGGTAACTTCAGTGACCTGTAGAGGCGCTGTGTGTCACCCATGCAAAAACAAACAAACACGCAATTACAGCTCTTTTACATTGCTCAGTTTCAGTTTGAGCCACATAATAAAATATTTAATTTTACATAACTTGTTGGAATATGTCCAAAACAGACAGAAGCAAAAACGCGTGAAATGTTTAATTATTTACATCTAATTCTTAAATTGTCTGTAAGATGAACTAAAGTAGAGTTTGCAAATGTGCATAAAGGTGAATTAATCCAATGAGAATAAGAAAGGCTTTCCAATTCCCCACAGCATTTCTTAGAGGCAGTGTTAAAATCCATTTTTCATGTTTTGTTAGAAATATCTTTATCATTTTTTACACTCAGCCAATGAGCTTTCAGAAGAGGGCGACATCTCTGTTCAGGAAACCCTCTCCTCCTCCGCACAGCAGCGCCACCAAGCGACCTCACCACACGCACACTTCCTCCACGAGCTTTCAAAATACAAGTAAAGCGCTTTTAATAGAACCACGTGTCCACAGGAGGAGATGAATTAGATCATGCTCCGTGAAGATGTTAATGATTTGCATAAAAAGGACGACAATACAGGAAAAAAACAATATCTAGGTAAGTTAAAATGACTTAAATTAAGAACATTTGACTTTATTTGAGTTGACAAGTAAAACTATCTACCAATTATAAGTGTGTTTTTCTTAATTCAAGCAATATTCGATTTTGTTTCTTATTTTAAATGCAAAAAGTTTCTTAATTTAAGCATAGCATGTTGTATTTTCATATTTTAAGTACAAAAAGTCTGGTTCCACTGGCAGATCATTTTACTTGTCAAGTGAAATTGATTCAAATCATGATTAAACTTTCTTAATTCAAGTCATCTTAACTTGACTAGATTTTGTTTTTTGCACTCATCATGGCATTAAACTGCAGGAACAGGTGTTTAGAAGTTTAGAAGAAGAAACAGCCTTGAGAAGCTTGAAAAACATGCGATTAAAGTGAGGTTAAGGTGCCCTTTATTGTCCTTATAGGAAAATTTGACTCTGAAAATAAATAAATACAAATAAATAAATAAATAAATAGAGAAAGCATTTTGAACTCATCACCCACTTCTAACTTCTAACTATTGGTGCACCAAAACAAACAATCAGCACCAGATTCATGTTGCTGCAGTTCAAATGGTCATTTAAGATTTATATTGCACCTGTAAAACTTCACCATTTTAATCCAAATATTCCTGATGATTGAGTAAAGCGTGGCAGGGAAAACTGGACCCTTTTTCATTGTATGTGGCAGTGAGAAGAATTCCAGCTGTTTTGGAAAGAGGTCACTACTGTAATTTCAGATTTAATTGAATATGAAATGCCATTAGATTATAAACTCTGCCTACTACAGCTCTTCCCCAACAGCTTTAGTGTTAATTTAAATAGAAAGAAGCTTGTAATGTTTTGTTTATTGCAGGCCAATCATGTTATTGCTCTCACTTGGAAGGAAATAAAGAGGCACAAAGTAAACTAGTGGATTAAATTAATGTCCAGCAATTTGGTACTGGAGAAGTTGAGCTACATGTCTAAAGGAAAACTTGAGGACTTTAAAGACATTTGACTGACATTGTTTCGCATTGAAAAGAATTTTCACATCTAGAAATCATAATTCAAATTGAGTGAACCGTGTGTTTTGGGGGGTGGGTTTTAATGTGTGTATTTATTTTACTTAATTTAATTTAAAAAAATTTGTTTTATGTTATTTTATTTAGTTTTGTTTGTTTATTTATTTATTATTTTTTTTAAAATAATTTATTTTATTTTATTATTTTTTATAAAAGAAATGTAAATTAAATTAAATTAATTTTATTTTAATTTTATTTAATTTTATGTCATTTACTTTTTTAATTTTATTTTATTTTATTATTATAAATGTTCTTTTCTTTTTTATTTGTTTTTTTTAATTAATTATAAATTAAATTTTTTTATTTAAAAATAATGTTTTTATTTTTTATTTTTTAAATGTTTCTTTTCTTTTTCTTTTATTTATTTATTTAATTATTTTATTTTAAATGTATTATTATTATTTATTTTATTATTTGTATTTTATTATTTATTTTATTTTATTATTTTATATTTATTTTAGTTTATTTTTATTTTTTATTTTTTTTATGTTTTGTATGTTTCAATATGTAAAATCTTAATTTAAAAAAAAGTAACAAGTACAACTCTCGGTAGAATTATGTCCAGCTTTTATTTTCCAAACCGTCTTTTCATTTCCGCTGCGGTGCGTGCGTCCGTGCGTCACTTGTCAGCTCTGTGATGTCGCTGCTGCCTCAAACACTGGAGACGGATGAGTACAGCGCAGTGGATACCCGGGGATCGTCTCTTTCTTTAGCGTCGCTCCGGTTTCTCTTTCACCCGCATTTCACCGCACTGTTTCCCCCGGGCGTGGAGTGCCAGTCCTCGGTGCAAAGATGTCAGTGGCCGGGCTGAAGAAGCAGTTCCACAAAGCGAGTCAGGTTCGTAAACGCGCCACCACCACAACAGTTTTTTGGATGTTGTGGTTTTGCTAACGGGGTTGCTTTCGTTTTCATCCCTAACTGAGCATTCAAACTGTCTATTTTTAAGATTCAACTTTGTTTCAGCACTTTTACGGCTTTAAACAAACAACCCCCACGGCTTTAACGTGACAATTTACGCAGCGTAACCTGAAAGCCTATTGAATAATGTGTCAATTTGATGAGTCCATTGCGCGTAAAGGGTGAAAACTTGCGTCAGTGTTCCGAATGAGGACTGCTTACGAAGTACTAACCCGGTTTAAAGCAATCGGCGCTGATAATTACGCACGATCTGAACTTCACGTGGAGCAAAGTTCATTAGTTCATTCCCCTGGACGCATTAGTTGTACGCTACGTTGTGCACCTTGCTCCCATAGCAATAGGAATCTACAAACACTGGTGATCACATTGAATTACTATGGGAAAAATACAGTTTTAATTGCCTATAATGCTATTAAAACGACTCGTGCTTGCATCGTTTCATATTATAGAGTCTAGTCATTGTTATAGATGAATTATATTGTGTTGTAATAGTGTGGTTAACAGAGAAGACGAGAGACAGTATTGTTTACATGGGAAATCTAATGGGCTATTGTGTAACATGTCTAGGGACTTCACACAAGTGTCTCAATTCAAAACGAGAATAGCTCCTAAACGACCTGCCATTCGAATACAATGTCTTAAGTTTTATTTTCGCCCGTTAAAACCACAGAGAGGTTGTTAAATTTCAAGCCCGGTTTGTTTTGATGGTGTTGCCACTTTGTCTTTGTTACGGGGTTTTATCTGAAGTGGAAACAGTTATCTCAAATTGAAAATGTGCTCTAAATGTTTTGTTTTTTCAGTGCCACGTTCTGCGCTTGTGAAAAAAATATGTGCCTCAGTGGATCTGATGAACAACAAGGTGTTTGGATTGTGCTAAAATAAACAGACAACAGTTTATAGATTTTTGAGGAGTATCAGACAAAAGCTCAGGACATACTTTACCAGTTAGTACAAGGCATTGTGTTAAGTCCATTGTGTTGTCTTGACGCTGTTGTTGATCGCAGTTGAGATATCACTCTACTGTGTTCTCTCCCTTTGTGTCCTTGGGCAAGGGACTTCACATTAGGGGTGTGCAAAAAACATCAAAATGTGCTGATTCTGTATCGATATTGTGGGCTGCTGTATCAATATATCACCAAGAGTATTATTTTCTGTGTTTTACTTAATTATTTTGTTCCAGCACTATAGTTTTGTAGCCAGACGGTTTCACTTCGTGGAAACCGTCTGACCTCGCAGCATTAGGATTTGTTCGCTCGACAGTAGGCGGGTACTTTTTTTATTTAACCAATCGCTGCTATTTGGTCGTGACGTACGTAATGCTAAGCTTTTCCCAAATCCTGTAGGAAGAAGGACAATAACGTCTTTCCCCTTGATAAAATTCACTAAACATTCTCTTTGTTTCGGCTTTAAATCATCGATCTCATTAATCGTCGCCAACACAGAATGTCTGTCTTCGTCTACATCCATCTTGATCGCTTTGTTTACTGTTGTGCTGTACCACAAAAGAGACCCAGTCATGGCTTCACAGCTCTTCTCTGATTAGCCTGTGCACGGTCTACAGCTTCTTGCAAACCGTCTAGTGTATTCTAATTCCTGACGTAGTCGCTGGAGAGAAATGAAATTGTGCAGATTAACTAGGTGACAGTTTTGTTGCTTGTTTAATGAAAGGGAACAAGACATTTGACATTTTCACTGTTTTGATGATTAAACTGTTTGTGTTTCATATGAACTTTGCACAAGAAGTGGTTTAACAAACACTTTTAGCATTACAACCATGATTATTTTTTATTTAACCATATCGAATCAGTTCGAAATATATTATATCGAACTGAGCTCTTACTTTATCAAGATATGTGTCATGTTGTGGCCAATGTATCGAGGTATATGTCATATTGGCAACTTCATATACTTAAAATATAGAGTTGATTGAATTGGTGAAGCTGTAGACGCAGAATGGTAGCCACTTTTTCATCAGTCTGTCTCAGGGCAGAATGGTTATGTTCTCTTTCAGCTGCAGAAAGTTGCTTGTTGTTTCATCACATTGCGGTTTTAAGCGAAAGGGATGTTCTCATAGTGTCATAGTATGTTTCCTATATCTATTTTTTATTTGATGTTGGGTCAAAATAAATAATTTCTCAACTATATAGAGACTACGATGTCACACAAACCAACTTTAGTGTACAATGCTGTGAAGAAACAGTGCGTTTGTCACATTTATTGAAACAAATGTTCACATTTCCTTTCTTTGTGAGGCTTTACATTGTCATACCTTACACTCATTTCCAGGAGACTAATAGCAGCCTTAACCATAATTACTACTTGGCTAACCTTAACCTAAACCCCAACCTAATATTAACTTGAAACCACGTTGTTGATCCAATATTGAAGGATTAATCTCAGGGGGACTCGAGCAAAAGTACAAATTTCAGTGTCATGAATTAGGGATGGGCATTCGATGAAATTTTCTTAATCGATCGTCGGAAGAATTAACGATCGATTATCGATTAGTCATTAACGTGTTTATATTAAAATGATCATCATTATTATTACTATCTGCACTACTAATGTGCATAAATAAATTCAACTTTACGACGTATAAACCGTAACGACTCTAGAGCCACATCAGCCCGTTTGAAATTATAATGTGTTTAATTCAGTTTTGCGCAACTCTCACAGAAACAAAACTTAAAACCGCATCGCTAATTTGCATAAACTCAGCGAAGATAAAACTACAGCTCTTGTGTCGCTGATGCGGTCAATTTCTGTCGGATTAAAAGACATGACTCAGTGGAATACAGGTTAGTGTGACTATATTTGCGTTTGTCAAAACCAGGACACCGTACGGGGGGAGGGAGGTGGGGACTCGTCATCGACATTGAGCGACTCTCACCTGGCAAAACTTTTTCCCACTGGACACCGAAGCATATGTGCTGCTTTATACACTGTGCACATGGACTCACACTTGTCCCGAACGCAACGGAAAGCGTGGAATTTCTTGTACAAGTCATCGTTAAATATGCATTTGTGCTTCGGTACGTTGCAGACTGACCGACTGTTTGTGTCTCGCTCCTTCTGATGCAGAGAGACACATGTACTGACCCGTTTGGTCACGCTACACACAGCAACCTACATTCGGTTTGTCGATTAAAATTAACGTAATCGATGAAATTATTAATGATCAATTATCGATTAATCGATTAATCATGCCCATCCCTATCATGAATACTGAACACAAAAATAATCCTGTAGTTTGGTGTTTTCTAGGGCTGAAACCTTTTTTTTTATAAGTCTACAAGTCAAACGATAATTTCTAAAGTGTATTTAGACTTTTAAAATACATTATCAGCTAAATAAAGTTTGAAATTAGGGGTGCACAGATCCAGCTTTTTCAGTTTTGATACTGATTCCTGCAGCTTGAAGCATCTACTGATCCCCGATATCAAACGATACCAGTGCAGAAACTGATAACAGCATTTAATTCCTTTGAACAAAAAATAAATATGACGAAAATGAGAAATTGATTCAGTGTGTGATGTAGCTGTTATTTATCTTTCAAGTAACAGCAGAACAGATTTGTGTTTAAATAAAAAAGTTCAATCATTATGAGACTTTCTGGGCTGACTACGACTTGTAAAAAGATATTTGGAAGCCGATATCCTAATACAGCAATTTTTTCAGTGTCTTGCTGATATTTAATACTAGGGTGTGCAAAAATATCGAAATATTGCATCGTTTGTGATGATGCAATATGGATATCGTGGGCTGCTGTATCGATATATCACCAAGAGTATATTTCAGTATATTTTACCAAATTATTTTGTTACAGGAGGAGGAAGGAAACTCATTTATGCTGCACATTTGACATTTTCACTGTTTTGATGATTAAAATGTTTGTGTTTCATAAGAACTTTGCACAAGAAGTGGTTTAAAAAAAGAGTTTTAGTATCACAGCCATGATCAGGGTATCTCCGGGGTTGACTACCCCAAATTTAAGACTTTATAAAGACATTTTTAAGACCACTTAAATGAAAATTAAGACCAACGTCGCACCCATTATGTGGGCGAAAAGCACCAGGTCTGATTCTAATAATGACCAACCAACTACCGGTACTACATCTAGACTCTAAGGCTACGTTTATATGATGACATTCCGAACAGAAGACACAAAAGTGGCATAGCGTCTTCACTTTTTTTGGGAGGAAATCTGTGTGCATACAGTGATGCAAAAGTGTGTGGAATTGGATTGGATATGCATGTCGGTGGTGATGTATGTGACATAAACACGTACGCGACGTGAACAGATCTGACCAGAGTTTTGTGTCTTGGGCAGTGTAAACGGAACTTATTGTTTTGCTGCCGTCGCCAAAAACCAAAGCATTGTTTGCGCATACTCCAAATTAGACGTTCATTCATGTTACGTTATTTCACGTTGTTGTTTTTTTCCCCATTTAACATTGCGCTGCAGCTCAGTTGAGTAAACAAAAAAATAGGCTAAAGAAATTTAAGACCTTCGTGAAAAAAATAAGATTTAGACAACATAATTTAAGACTTTTTAAGGCCTTAATTGAGGAACATGAAATTTAAGACCTCGCAGCTACCCTGATGATTTTGCCATTATTTTTTTACTGAACCGTGCTGAATCGATTTGAAATATATCGTATTGAATTGAAAGTGCACTGTATCGAGGTATGTATCGTATTGTGACTTATGTATCGAGGTATGTATCGTATCGTGGCCTATGTATCATACCGTGACGTATGTATCGTATCGCGACTTATGTATCGAGGTATGTATCGTATCGCGACTTATGTATCGAGGTATGTATCGTATCGTGACTTGTGTATCGAGGTATGTATCGTATCGTGACTTATGTATCGAGGTATGTATCGTATCGTGACTTATGTATCGAGGTATGTCTC